GAGTCTGGCGGTAGACCCGGAGCCTCTCCTTACCTTCTGCCGTGTTGAAATCCCACTGGGGCTGAGTTAAGGGGAAGGAGGCATCTATCTGAGCCTGGTTGGTGGTGGGATTTCCGTCTGCACCTGGAACTAGTTTTCGGGCCCCACTGAGGATTCTTTCTCTTTCTTCAGTCGTGAACAGGACCTGCAAAAGCTGCTGGCAATCGTCCCACGTGGGCTGATGGGTAAAAAGAACAGAGTCTAATAAATCAATAAGCCCTGCCGGTTTCTCGGAAAACTTAGGATTCTGAGCTTTCCAATTGTAGAGGTCACTAGTGGCCAAAGGCCAATAGTGATGGGGCTGATTCCCCTCCGCGTCTGGGGGTCCGGTGGCTCGCAGGGGCAGAATAGTGGAGTTGGCGGGCGGAGGCGGATTGCTCCCTCTGAGCCCTTTGTCTGGTAAAGGGCGGGCTTCCCCCTGGAGCGTTTCTGCCTCCCGCTCTCAGAACAGCATCTGCCTCCCCCGGAGGGGGAGGATGGTGTTCTTCCGGCATCCTAGAGGGGTTATACGGGGGAGGAAAAATTAATTCTTCTTCAGTACCCCCCTGTAGGACAGGGTAGAGGGGTGCTGAAGGCTGGGTAAGATTTTTCCTCTTCTCTGTCTCCTGCAAAGCAAGAATGGGTTTTGGCTCCAGAGGGAGCAGGGTTAGGAAGGGCTTAAGCCAAGAGGGTGGGTCTTCTACAAGGTCCTGCCAAGTGATAATGTAAGGGAGCTGATCAAGATGGCCCGCCTTAAGCTGAGAGATGATACTCCTGACTCGGTGGATGGTAGGGAGGTCGAAGGTCCCCTCTGGTGGCCATCCGACATTGAAAGTTGGCCACTCGCTAGAACAAAAAAACTGCAACCGACCCTTTCGGACTTCCACACTGAGGTTGTTAGCTCTTCCCCTCACATCCTTAAAGTGATCAATCATAATACTTAGAGGAGTAGTCTGAGTCTGTCCCATAACGTCCGTCCAGTAAGTCCACAGAACAAAACAGAGAAACACAAAAACAGACAAACAGAGGGCCCCTGGAAAGTCTTCCAACTCCATGGAAGCAAAACTGCAAGCTAGCTTAGACCTTTGAGGGGATTCCATGTCCCTCCAAAACCGATGAGGGGATTCCACGTCCCTCCAAAGACGACGGCCTCACGCCGACCAGCGGGAGCGACCCGCCTCGTCTCAGACCTTTGAGGGGATTCCACGTCCCTCCAGAAGGGAGAATCGGAACGTCTTCCGAAACTCCCGGCCCATGGTCCTCCAGTGCGTCCACTAGACAGCATCGGGCACTACCAGAATTCCAGAAATGAGCTCACACAGAAAAGACAGAACAAACAGACACTAACCGTGGCCAGTCAGGCTCTCCGGGTCGGGGGTCCCTCAGGGTCTTGGGGATCCCGGGCCGAGCCCCCAAATGTTATGCCCAGAATTCGTGATCCCCAAAGACCACTAGGGAGCCGAGTCCGATGCAAAAGCAAAGAGCCTTTATTCGAGTAGCTCGAGCTCAGTCCCCTGCTTGCACCGACGCAGCGGTGAGATACCAGGGAAAGAGAGCGAGTTTCAAAAGGACAAAGGTTTTACTGGGGCCTGGGGGCAGTTGGTGAGGTAGTGGCTATGGCCTCAGCCGATTGGCTGGGGAAGGGTCCTGGGGAAGGGTCCGAGTCCTGTTAGGCAGGTGAGGGGGGGGTTACTCAAGGGGAGGAGGTGTGGTCAAGGTGAAGGACACAGAACAAGATGGAGTCGGCTGGCGTAGGCCCGCCCTTTCACTCCCAAGAAACGGTTTTTATAATAACATCCTTTAGCCCACCCATGAAATCTACATCAGGCTCCTTAGGACTCTGTTTAACTTGAATAAAAGAGGTTGTAGCCTGTCCCGGGGTAGCCATTTTCTCCCAGGCACCAAGCAGCACAACTAACTTGTATCACGGCTTGATCATCATACTGAAGCTGAACCTGTATGCCAAACCATTGTCCGGTCCGTTGAGTTGTTCTTGGGTAATGGGCATAGGAGCATTGGCGGTGGCATCACGCCAGGCCTGTATCTGTGCTTCTTCATCCCACCAAATTCTAAACTGCAAAAATTCAGAAGCACTTAGAACAGTGCGACCTAGGACCCCCCCAGTCCCACGGAATGAGTCACTCTGAATTCGCTAAAGCAGACACCAATCCCAACGTATAAGGGTAATTAACACCATATTGTGTGCAAGGTCGTTTCAAATCCTTAATGACCTTAAAACTTAAAGGTAATGATGATCAAATCTTTGCCCTCCCTGAGGATATTGCTGATGAGGAGGAATTTGGGTAATGTTGACAGGATAAACTGCAGCTATACTAGCCATTAATTCAGTGTCCCCCGCAGGCTTAGCTTGTTGAAGCATCTGCATCATGGGGGAAACAGGAACTGCCATGCTCCCAGCAGATGTATCAAGAAATAGGTTTTTTGAATAAGCAGAACATTTAGTTTCTTCAACAGGATCGACCGGCTCAGGACCGTGGGGCAGTGCGGGAGGCAGGTGTCCGGAGGCTTGAGATGTAACTATCTCTGGGCCATTAACCCGGGATGCCCGTAGGTTTCTGTCCCTCTGGTGGTGGGCCGAGGGGCTGGGCTCCCAGTCCTCATTATCCACAAGCACATGATCACTTTCAGCCAGTGAGGGGTTGCAAGAACTAATGCTCCCTTCTTCCCAGGATTCTGACTGCAAGGGCTGCAAAGCCAGGGAAATTAAATTACATGAAGACGATAAGGAGAGAGGGGTTACTTCTCCTTGTTGATGAGCTCTGCCCACAGCACCTAAAACTAATTCCATAGTTTCTGATTCAAAAAATTTTTGCCAGAGGGCGTAACCAGTAACAATGTTTCTTTACCAAATAAAACAAATCCTCAAACGCTAACAGCTCACTTCTACTCCTGAGCTCTTTAATAAAGTCTGCAAGAGCTGAACACATGAGTCCTAACTACATGAGGTAGAATCCCCCATACTTACCCTGCAGAAATCCTGAAGGGTGAGCTTCTCGGCTCCAAAGTTCCCTTCGGTTCCTGTGGCACTTCTTCAGCAGTGTGGCAAACGTCCACCTTCAGGTCCCCGTTCTGGTGCCAGCTGTAGAGAGACAGGGCCTGAAGGTGCCGTGAGTCAGCAGGGGGCTGACTCTCCAGGAGCCGAAGCACCGGTCTCCTGGCTCAAGCCTCTTTTATTTTTGCAAATTGTTTGATAACAGCGAGCACATACAACATAGTATCTGGCATCTTGACAGGCCATGCACCTGCAGGGTATTCCATACTGGGTCATGAGTACATCTGGCACCAGACAAAACATTCCTATCCCAGGCCTGATGCCGGTATTATATCCTTCTGGAGAGAGCAAGCAGTCCCGGCATACTTCTGTCCTGGGAATGGAACTGTTTTCAGTTTCTTGCTGTTCTGTCCCTTTCCTTCCAGACATTCTTATGGTGCCTCCTGCTTCTTGTTCTCCAACAGAATAAAAAATGGGTATAAAACTTAGTGTCTTCAAGTTGGCAAAGGTGAAAGTAGGTGATGAGAGTGTCCAACAGAGGGTCAGGAAAATACACCATCATAAAGGATAATGGGAGTGAACACTGGTATAAAAATTTTCAAGGGTTCTGCAAAATGTCTCCACAATTGAAGTGTGCTGATACTGTGACATAGACATTCTCTTTTAGGAGCTTATCCTTTTTAAAAAATAATTTATTTATTTATTTTGAGAAAAATGAGAAAGAGTGCACGCAGGAGCAGGGAGAGGGGCAGAGAGAGAGAGGAGACAGAATCCCAAGCAGTCGGACGCCAGGCTGGGTCTCAGGAACCCGGAGATCATGAGCTGAGCTGAAATCAAGAGGCTCATGCTTACAGGACTAAGCCATACAGGTAGGAGTGTATCCTAAGGAGATAATGACATATGTTCTCAAGTGTATATTTTCAGAGGGACGCCTGGGTGACTCGGTCAAGTGCCGGACTTCGGCTCAGGTCATGATCTCAAGATTTGTGAGTGTGAGCCCCGTTCAGGCTCTGTGCTGGCGTATGGAAGGAACAGGTCTTAGGAATAAAAGGCACAGCACAGGGAATATCATGAGTGACAGGTGGCAGCTACACTCTGGTGAGCACAGCATGGTGTAGACAGAGGGTGAAGGGCCCCTGGGTGGCAGTGGGTTCTCCGCTCATAGTCCCAGGGTCATGGGATCCAGCCCTGCAGGAATCAGCCTGCTTGAGATTCTCTTATTCTCTCTCTCTCTCTCTCCCTCTCTGCCTCTCTTACCTGCTCTGGCTGTGTCTCTGTCAAAAAAAAGAAAATGTATACAGAATTTGAGTCACTGTGTTGTACCCCTGAAACTAACGTAATCATGTCTTTCAGCTATATTCAAAGTTAAAATATTTTTTTAAAGAAATTAATTAGGAAGTATAACTGTAGGGGTGCCTTGGTAGGTAAGTTGGTTGGGCATCCAACTCTTGATTTCATCTCAGGTCATGTATGATCTCCTGGTTCCTGGGTGTGAGACCTGCATCAGGCTCTGTGAAATGGTGCGTCCTCTCCCATGGCTGCAACTGCAGAGAAAACGTGCAGTTACAATAAGGCATGGGAAGGCTAAGTGAGACTGGCAGAAGCACAAACCCCTATACATGCAGGTGTTCGTGTGGGGTGTGGGGTCAGAGGAGACACTGGGGTGCAAAAACAACTAATTGGATGAGAGAGGAAAGGGACCGGACATAGAAATGAACAAAACATCCCAACATGGGATCAAGGTCGGGGTGCATAAACTTGTCAGGCATCCATTAGGCATCAGGCACCATTCTCTGGACTACATGGTTCAAGACAAAGTCTCTAAGGAACAAGGAGACTCTGGAGAGTTGGAGGAACCAATTTCATGGGATCAATATTCACTGGAGGAGAAAATGTCCATCTCATCAGGCCGCTCACTGCTACTGCCCTCAGTGTGACCCTGCACCTCACTGAGGATCTTTTCACTTGTCACAAATGTGATGGCCAAGCCCTTGGGGGAACTGGCCTGCTCAGGCCTCCTGGAAGGAGAAAGAGGGTAGCACTGGAAGACCCCAAAGTAGGAAGACACCCAAAAGGAGGGACGAGAGTGTAATGTACGAAGACATAGGAAATCAGGGGCTGGGAGGTGCACTGGGATGTCCGTGTGGGTGTGCAGCTTACCCGATGCAGGTAGGTGTGGGAATCGCCAGGCTGGTGGTAGTCGATGGCAGAGTTCACCTGCTTAATGTCCATGCCTTGGCCACATAGGTTGCTGGCCACAACAATTCGATATTGAAGACCTTTAAACTACTGTGACCAAGAAAGCCTTTGTCATAAAGACAATCATAAAAATGTTCACAGTCCTTTATCTCAGGGATTTCATTTCTTCCCAAGGACACAAGACATCTTTCCATCTCTCCCTCACCTCTCCTCCTGAAGGGTCTCACAGTGTATGGCAATGGCTGGCAAGTTCTGCTCCACCAGTACCTGGGCCAGGGCATATCAACGCTGCACAGACTTCACAAAGATCTTGCCTGTATGTGGAGAGTAGGGGGATGTGGGCCCATGGGTGTGTGTATGGGGGGAGAATGACAATGTGCCAGAGTGGGAGATTTCTGGAAGTACACCCTCCACATGAAACCATTAAGTCCCTCTTATTCCCCACTACATGATTCCTTTTTTCCTCTAAGTATAATTACTCTTCCTTTCTCTCCTTTGCTTTGGATTTTCCTGAGCAAATCGGCCTCTGAGGAGATACAGAGAACAGTAACCAAATCTGGCAGACATGTTAGGAGACAGGAAGGAGGTACTCCATGACAAAGGGATAAGTATTGGAACTAGGGTCTGGAACGACCATGAACAATATTCCTGCTTATGAAATATTAAACCTAAGACCTACCTTAATTCTGGGAGTAGTTTTAGTGTGAAAAAGTTGCACAATCCGTAAGCTGAGAGAAAGCTTCTCCTCAGGGTGTGATACAAGAACAAATAAACATATTTAAGAACCCTAACAGGGCCAATGTATATGGGAATATTTAAGGATTTAAAAGTCCGTCCAGATTTTTTTTTTAAGTTTATTTATTTTAAGACAGAGAGAGACAAAGTGACTACGAGTAGCAGGGAGGGGCAGAGACAGAGACAGAGACAGAGAGATCATGAGAGAGAATCTCAAGCAGGCTCCACGCTGTCAGCACAGAGCATGACACAGGGCTCCATCTCACAAACCATGAGATCAGGAGTCGGACCCTTAACTGAGTGAGCCACCCAGGCTCCCAAAACACTGAGTCTTTATTATTGATGGGTTGTAGCTATTTTAAAATATGCAACTGAAGACAGAAGAAACAGCAGCCCCCACATCGGGAACTGGTCTGACACTGACAGCTGGGCCTCAGTGTGGTCAGAAGCTGACTGATGCCACCACTGGGCCATATTATTCCTGTGGGACATGAGCCAGTCATCTCACGGAACATAAACAGCACACAAGGACACTCGGAAACCATGACATTACTTTATCTAATTAGAGACAAAAACAAGGCGCTGTACGACCCACAAAACACCAAACATCTCCCTGTGCTGGTTACTGAGCAATCACTGCTTTTTACCATTTCTTTGTTTATATCAAGTTTTTATTTAAATTCCAGTTAGTTAACATACAGTTTAATAGTAGTTTCAAGAGTAGAATTGAATGATTCATCGCTTACATACAACACCCAGTGCTCATCACAAGTGCCCTCCTTAGAACCCATCACCCATGAGCCCGTCCCATTTAACCTGTGACCCACCCAGAAGCTTGACAGCTTCTCAACACTGACCACCTTGTCTGTTGGGATTTGTGGTAATATTAAAACAAATGACTTTCTTTAAATTTTTTTTTAACGTTTATTCATTTTTGAGAGAAAGAGAGAGACAGAGTGCAAGCAGGGGTAGGGCAGAGAGACAGGGAGACACAGAATCCTAAGCAGGCTCCAGGCTCCGAGCTGTTAACACGGAGTCCCACGCGGGGCTTGAACTCATGGACCGTGAGATCTTGACCTGAGCCCAAGCCAGATGCTTAACCAACTGAGCCAACCAGGTGCCCCAAAACAAATGACTTTTGATAATTCAATTCCACTCTAATCAATGCTGGAACATCTATATTACTTAGTGAAACAACACACAACATGTTACTTAAAAACAATTATGCATTAGGACAAGATCCGTTCCATGTGCAGATGGGCCTATGGAGTTAATGTAACAGAGAAAGACACACTCAATGATACTGTTTCAGGTCCCAGTTTGCAAATAACCTCAGAGAAACTACACATTGTGTAGATTTAATATAGTATCAAAAATGAATATCCATAATTATCGAAAAGGTTGTAACACATACTATTCTCCTATATTTGGTCAAGGACATAAATTTTTTCATATACTTTGAACAAAACAACACAAGAGATGCAGAAGCAAATCTGAACATCCAGTGGTCTTCTAACGAGACAGAAGAAAGAGACTTGCAATGAAAGAAAACCACCCTTCTCACTGCCCCTTTTATTTGGAACATTGTCACTTTCCATACAAACAATATTTCTGTTTTCATATGATTGTAAATGAATTAATAAATTCTTGAACCGGTTTTATTCCTACTGTGGTAAATAAGGATCGATAGAATCCACAGGCACACAATTATCCCTGGGATCCTCACTAATTTCTAAGACTGTAGAGATATCCTGAGAACAAAAGGTCCAGGGCTGAGGGACACAGCGGGACAAAGAGCGCTCTGTGCAGTAGGTGAGGCGTCCAGGCCAAGTCCCAGGTCCCCAGGC